GGGGGGGGGGTGCTAAAAAAGAGTATGTTTTGTACTCTTGCATTAATGTTGGAAATTGTGAATGGCCCCTTAGGATACAGCTTCTTATAGCTTAACACTGAACATTAGGAATGTGAAGCACAGGACAAATACAATGAAGATAACACTATACTGAAAGAATTTCAGAATAAAGGCATCAAGAAAATCAAAGTAAACACCACAGCCTTTGTCACACATATGTTTTTATTTGTCAAACTGAAACAGCTTTTGTTTGAAGCAACATCTCATTTTTTGACTGTACAGAGTCTCTCCCTCCTATGCAGGCTTGAATCTATAAGCAGAAATATAATTGTTGGGATTTCTGAATGGGGATGTACAAGAGAGGCGAGAAACAATATGAGAACATTTGACACAGAAACACAAAGACAGCATGGTTTTTCCACTTCGTTTCCTTTTTCTTTTTGTTTTGATTTGTTCAGTGAAGTTTACAGTGCCGACATTGGGTTTAAAAAAAAAACTATTCCACTGCATATCATCAAATGCAGAAAAAAGAATGTGCCCGTGGACATCTTGGTTAATAACTGTAGCGTTGAATTTCATACATCATGCATACTTCCTGAGAGCTTTGCAGCAGGCCTGCTTCATCCTACATGCTCACAGGAAGCTTTCTACAAAGCTTGATCAGTGCATGTAGTGGTCAGGTTAATAATAAGCATGTAGGGGCTAAAATATTAACAGATGTTAAAATCAAAACAAAACAAAACAAATAATAATAATAATAAAATATATTATTAATGCCGTGCCCACAACCTAACAAGTGATGTTCATTGATTCTCACACATAAGGACAATCTACAGCAAATGCATTCAGTAGAACTTACACATGTAGAGTTTTCTAAGACATTCTTTAAACACATTACCATCACTGCAGAGGACCAGCATATCATTATCTGCATTTTTTTAGCTTAAATTCTCTGTATAATTTGTTTTTCTTTTTTTCCTGTTGAATTTATAAAGCAGACAAAAATAACCTTTATGTTGTATTGGGTGTTGATAGAAAAATGTCTGGTACCAGCTTTCGTGAGCAGGTATTATGTGAAAAGTCATTAATAAAAGTTTTTTATCAACAACTTCAAAAAAATGATGCTCCAAATTATTTTCTCCATGTGAAAGTTTTTTTTTCAAGCTACTGTCTCAGAGCAAATAAACTGTGTTCTGAAATTATGTGCTTGCTGAGACACTGAAAGCTGGCAAGTCTTAAAGAAAACATGAAGCATAAAAGTAGATGTCAAGTCTTATTGTGGCACTCAAGAGCTTTGGAATAACCTGTTAGGAGCAGGAAGCCCTGATGTAACCCAGGGTAGCCCAACTAAAGTTTAATTCTGTTTACTTCAGTTTCTTTACCCATGCAGCTTTTTCATTTACTGACAAGCACTGCTAAAATTGGTGTTTATGCAATGAAATCAGCAGAAATAAATGCTTTTGACTAAAATACACATTTGTAATAATTATGTTTTCTTGTAAAGTTTTCAACCACGTAAACCTACAAACAGATCCGGTCACATCATGTGAAAATACACAAAAGGTAAACATTCCATGACACTAAATGTGTAAACATCAAAAGATCTTTCAAAGTGGGGTTCTATGGAAAGGTTATGAACAAATAATATCTTACCTGTAGATAGCTATTTGAATGGTCTTTGAATGACTAGCTAACAGCTAATTCAAGCTGGGCCATGGCCAAAGTAGATTACCACTTTAAAACCAATTTCAATATCAAAGTCTTCATACTGGTTTATAAAACAATAATAAAAAATAATATTTTACTGTAATGTTTGTAATTAAGTTTTATAAATCTTTACACTGTCTCAAAATTCTCATTATGCAGTAATTTTTGCAGAAAACAAAACATGCAATTCAAACCAACTACACTGGATGTACTACAGCTAGCTGCTGCTGCCTTTATTTGCACCTTAATAACCATCAAATTTGATGTTAGCAACTGTGTACTGATAATATGATAGTGATTTAATTTTTTTAATGTGTTAGCCTGAAAGAATACTGTTTTTTCAGATGGCATGAGCTCATCAATCTGGATAAATTAAAATTCCAATGCATCTAATCCAAACTGATGCCAGACAGATACAGTATATTTACAACACATTAAATGTTCATAGATTTCTTACAGAACCCAACCGAAGAAGATTTGAACAATAAAGTTTATTTTAAACCATCACGGATTCTGTTTGATGTTCATTTGTCATCATCACTGCAGTTTTAGGATTGAAACATGAAGTCAATGGTTGTTGTAAAAAAGCTAATTATTCTGTGATATCACTGATCATATCTCAATCAAAACATGTTCAAAAACTGGCGTATGCACACAATGTGAATAATTTTAATATTTTCTTTTACTCATTTGATACTTTCAGTGAAATATACTTTTATTTTCAGTGGCCAAACATTACACATCGTGGGTAATTATGAATGACATCTATCCTGAGATTCTTAATTCATTTCACTTCGATCAACAAGACGACGAGAGGACATCAAACACAGATATTTTTTTATGAATCTGACAGCTAAAAGGGGAAGGGGAGAGAAATATCACCCAAAAGTTATAATCAAAGCTGTAAATAAATAAAAAAGGAAACTGAGCAAGAAGACATTAAATAAAGCCTCTTTGTCTGTGCTGCAGTGACACTTTCACCTGCAGTGCTTGTTTATCCATCTCACATTTCCCTCATCTCGAGTGAGCTTTAGAAGTGTGTGGTCACGTTTCAGTACGATTTAAAAATGCACATAAAAATAGGTCCCCAATTCAAAGCTATTTACTCTCAGGGCCGGAGGCTTTAAATGATTTGTCATAATATACAYTTATAATTCACGCACCATGCAGTTTCTTAGTCTTTTACATATAATACAAGAGAATTGATAGTGTTTCGAGAGATGCTGCAATGTCAGAGTCCCTTTGAGTAAATCCATGGCTTGACGGGGTGTCGTTATCAGATAAAAAACAGAACATGATGGCGTTATCTCTACATACTTAGACAGTTTAATTATGATATGAAGTCGGTTAATAATGTCCAGTGAAGCACAACAGACAGGTTTCACGTCTTTGTTAAAAAGTGACACTGTACAATAGCTTCCATGGCAACAAGTTAAAACCACAGTGGGACCCCTCTCCCTCCCCCCACCCCTGTTCAGACTCCACCCCTGACTCCTATCCGCCCATATATTTTACAGAAGTTCATTCCAAAGAGGATGGCCAATCTTGAGAAGAATAAAAAGACAAAAATCACTTTTTTAAATAGGAAACTGAAAGACAAAAGTAGACCGGGGGGCAGGTTTTAACTTAGTGTACAAAAGAACGAACAGGAAACCCCACCACAACGCAACACTTATTCTTGAAAAATCCATTTGGAATCAATTTCTTTTTACAGGCTGAACAGTTTTATTTCTGAAGAATTGCATGATAATACTCCAGTACCCAAAAGGGCAGGGGGTGGTGGCTCAAAAACAAACAAAACAAACAAAACAAAAAGAAAAATAATAATCATTTGGAGGAAAGGACATCACTCTTCCTCTGTGCATCCCAGTATTTCTACACGCAAAGTGATCCTGCCGTACCACGACCAGGGGAGGATCCGAATGAGCCGGGCGTAGATGGGAGGGTCTATCACGTTCTTTCTGTGTGTGTCATTGTCGAAGTTTCCCTGGAATACCTGGAAAAAAAACAATAGCATGGAGTTATTTATTTTCCAAAAAGCGCTGAATCCAAAGACGGATTTCTGTTTAACAAATTGGGAACACCTATTATCTGAATATGTTCCAGCACTTTAGAAAGACACTTTGAATCAAATCTCAGGTAACACAGAAAAAAAACAAATTGTATTCTCGGTCAGAATTTTCTCACTTTCGTTTGTGCCTTAAAAGCCTGGGTCGGATAATGACTGACGCTCAGCCAAACAGAGCTTCAGTTCAGTCACTCCAGTCTTGACAACCTTCAACGAGTGCTATTATTTTTTATTCGACACACATTTGAAAATCAGTAGTTTTCTTCCTGTGGAAAATTATACATTGTTGAAATTGCACAGCTGGAAGCGCCACCTTTAAAATTAGACTAACACATCAGCTCACATTACAACTTATTGAATCATATTGATATTAAACACATTGGGTTTTAATGTTTCGAGGCCATTATTTGTAGCTTCATAATAAAATAGACCCTGGTTGTTGTTTGGGAGGTTGTTATAAAAGATCCTTCTGCTGCTTCTTCCCTTTTTCAGGACAAAATAAAAGAAACTGAGCTGTACAGAAGTGAAATCTGGACCAACATTTTTAACTTATCACAGATTTTTACTTAGAAATAAGATCAATTTAAGGTGTTAGGTGAGGTTTTAGTGCAAGAAAAATAATACATTAATTTCTGTTCAACAAATATAAATGTTTTCTTCGACAAACTGTTGAATGCTAGACCTCATCCAAAACAGAACAGTACGTTCATCATTTTATCTTCTATTGCTGATTACCAAATGCTTTTCTGTGTGCTTAATAGACAGCAGGAAGAAGTAAATTAGAAAGAAATGCATCTACAGGGAGCGCTTCATTGAAGGACCTGATCATTTCAATTTCCCTGTTATCATTATGTCTGTGTAATTGGAATGTAATGGGATTCAGTGTTGTGAGGAATGAAAAAAGTCAAGTTGGTTAAATCCAAACAGGTGCTGAAAACTGGGATTTACATATTTAGCTTTTGTTTTATGGTAATTCCTTTTAAATATTCATAGGGATGTTTTGGCGTAGCAGTGGTTTAGATTTTGTGTGGTTGGAGCAAATGTACAAAGAGAGGGGTACATTTTGTACCTGTTCAAAACAACAGCGTCAAACATGATGGAGAATATTCTGACTAATGCTTTCAAATTTGTATAACTTTACAAAAAAAGAACAAAAAAATCTCTTAGTAGTTATCTTAAAATTGCAGCAGTTTAAAAAATGTGCATTTTTAAGGTTTACACAATGATAAATGGAAAAAAAAAAAACCACTGAATACCAATACATGTTGGTCTGAATAAGGTTAACAAGAATTAAAAAAATATGATAAGTTTATCTAAAATCATATAATTTAGCTTTAATATTTAAAACAAGCTTTACATTTTTATGTGTGCATGACTTTTTTCAGAAAATTACAAAAATAATTTATCTAGAAGTAACCTTTTAGCTTATGTAGTTAAATAACATGCATCATTTTATGCTAAGAAGCCCAATTTAGCTGGGTGTTAGCACTACTTAATGCACAGAAAAGCACAATTGTATTTTTTTCTAATGTCAATGACAGTCCGTCGAGTTTTCATAATTATGTTGATCTTGATAAAGCACCTACCTTTAGGTTTCTTAAAAAATTACCCACAAAAGATAATTTAGTTGTCAGATTTTTTTGAACTGTTTGCCTATCAAGACAAAAAAAAGTGAAAACATGGAAAATGCAATTTGAAAACTGATTTACTTTAAAGTTAGTGTGAGATTTGCTCTTTCTACATCCCCTTTGACTTTTATTTCAACTTTTTCATTTTGTTCTCAGAGACACAATGTGAAATTTATACATTTTCATTTCTTTTTACTTATTTGTCTGTTGACAAGGATTGCAGGTCTTATTTTTATCCTCCTATCTTTTTTTCATCATCTTCCAGCTGCAGTGAAACCCTTCCTGTCTCGTCTTTCCCATCTGCACTGGAGCACAGAGCTTAGTCTGTTATCACTCAATGTATATATGTCTACAGACAAATAAACAACACATCATCACATCTCAGTCTGCTCTCTGTCATTTCAAGCTTTTACCTTTTTTCAGGTGCATGCTTTCATGTTTTGTTGCATCAATTTAACACAACAATGTGCAAAATATAAATAGTACATTGACTTTATGCTCCTATAGACAAATACAGTGATCCAAACTCTGCATCTTGTTTCAATGTAATTCAGTTATAAAACAAACAAGTTATGTCTATAGTAAAGAAAATTAGACTTTTGCCTTTAAAAATAACTATAAAAATCAGCAAGTTAAATTTGAAATACATTCAAAAGTAACTCTAATTGACACTCTAGAAGATCATGTACTTGCGATGAATTTAGTTGCACTGGATTTCATGAACTCATTGTGTTCTCACTGTGGACATTTAGGAAAAATGAAGAAACTGAAAATCAACATCCTGTAAAATCACATACAAAAACTGTTTCCTAAAGTCACTGGATATGATGTAATAGTTCAGAAAAAACAACCCAAAAAGTATCTAAAGATATCTAAACAGCACCAGGAGAGATTCAATTCAAATTTTCTGCAATCCTAGAGACTTCAAGTACACAACAAAATGTATTTGGCCAAAAAAAAGGTGGATTTTGCATATGTCTCCTTTAAGAGAGCTAGAGTCATGACACAGGAGCTCTCCTCTGACATGAAACATCTTAGGCCACAGCCCCCTACTGTCCAGGTATAAAAACCATGCTGATGATTAAAAAAAAACTAAATATGGTCTAAATCTGCCCATCTTCATTTCAACAGTGACTGTTTTAAATGTGGAGGCAACTGCCAAGGTGGGCACAGGGTGGAGACTGGCAACAAAATAATGTGCATGACCTAATACATTACAATACAATACAATTCTGCAAGTCATGCACACATAGGTCATTAGGTAAAATAAAATAAATAAATAAATAAATAAATAAATAAATAAATAAATAAATAAATAATTGGTTGACTGGTCACTTGGTAGGAAAAATTTAAAATTTTGTTAGGTCGCAACAAATATTTGCCTATTTTATCGCAATTATGTGTCATCAACAAATCTATAACAATTACAGTCCAGTGACATCAAACCTTTATGTCTTTGTTAATCCCCAGGTGACTTCAGATCAGTCAGTCAGGCATCTTTAAGTCTACAAGCTTTTTAGTTCCTCTTAACAACAAACTCATAACTGGGATCACAAAGGGGACTCTGGCATCTTAACACGCAGGTAATGCGCTCACGATAGTGCCCCAACCTCATTAAAGTAAGCTGCACTGGACCTTGACTATTTTGTTCAGGAAGTGGGCTGGAAACAGCTCTCAATCTCCCGGGGAGAGAGGCATTTAGTGCAGCATTCTTTGATTAATCGTCACGTCTCATAATGACAAGGCACACTCTTAAAATAAGAACCAGCAAAAAAAAAAAGAAAAAAAAAAGAAAGAAACAAGAGCAGCTGAGTGCCCTGCCCCAATTTCACTAAAACGTTTTAAGGATCCAGCTTGAGTTCATGTGTTTTAAGGTCTTGAAACATCTGTGCCAAGTTTTACACTCTCACTATCACTGATAATTGATAGTTAAACATAAACAGAATTCAGCCTCTACAGAGCATCAGTTATCTAAATATTTGACAGGTGTAATTGAAAAATACATTACATGCCATATTGCCATAAATATAATGTAAATACAATAGAGATCGTGCACAGTTTCAGAAGCAAATCTTTAAAAATAGCATATTTGAAGCTGAAGGTATGGAGAATAATTCAAAGATATTTATTGAAATAAGGAAGAGGAAGGTCATGGTAGTTGTCAAGAATAGCAGCAAACTTGTAAACAACTTGTATTATTAATAACAGTTGAGTCACTCTGTATTAAAGCTGCTGTGTGCAGTTTCTTGAAAACCCAAAAACAGAAAAATTTTGAACAGATACAACCTTCTAGTCCCTCCCCCTGCTCTCAGCTCCCCTTCCTAAGCTCCTCCCCCACAGCAGGGCCCAGAGTCGGGAGCACGCACGCTTGTAAACAGGAGGTGAGCCACCGTAACACACAGAGCTCAGAGCTAAGCTGCCGTCCCAGGTAAGCACAAACCATCAACAATATATTTTTAACTATCATGTCTTGCCCATACTTTATCTACACAAGTGCTCCTTTTGYCATAACGTTACATGTAAATTATGTTGCACTCTTTCTATAAGTCATAAATAGCTATCAAGCGAACACAACACCGAACTGTCACCGATGTGACATTTCATCTTTATGCTATGCAGCTAGTTTTTGACAATCATCATCTACCAGCTGATGGAGAGAAGCTGTGGTGAAGAATCACGCAGGTCACTGGGAGACGCAGTAGAGTGGGTTCAGCTTCTGAGAACCTCAGCAGGACATCTGCATCTCAACCCTACCTTCCACTCATCAAACCATATATTCTGCAGGCAGGAGTCTTGTTTCTGGCCAGGAGGATCTGTAGCTGAGCTTACAGATGATGCTGAAGACAACAGGCAGTTTGTGGCTTGTACTTCTGGTCAGAGCAGGCTGCTGAGTGTGGACTTCAAGGACTGCTCGTGGCAAGAGCTCGTGCGTGAGACAAACCTCACTTTTGATTGGCTGTTCGGTCTTGAACAGAGGGCAGAAGGACCATCGGGAGGAGCCAGAGGACTTTTTGTCCCCCCCCCCAGAGATTATCTGTCTAATATCAATCTGTCAGGACATAGTGACAGTTTTAACAAATATGTCAAAAATATATATTTTAAAAAGTTACAGACTGCAGCTTTAAACTACATCTAAGCTTGTAACTACTATTAAGAACAGAGCATAACACATTATAAAAGCTGTAGAAAACTGAATTTTATTTTATAACAAGGGTTTTGTCTTGTAAGCAAAGTAAAATGCACATATATTATTTTTTTATTTTTCTAAAAATTAAATTTGCTTATTACTTGTTTGCCAGT